TCCTCTTCCTGCAGCAGATCTTCCGGGTTTACCTGCGTCTGCGCATCAAGCGTGTCAACAGCAGCAGCAGCAGCAGCTGCTGCTGCTGCTGCTGCTGTGTCTGATGCTGTTCCCGTTTGCTTCTCCCTGTTGCACTGGATCTTCACGCTGCGGTGCTGCAGCAGAGCTGTTTGGGTCTCTGCGTCACAAGTCCTGGGCTTTGTTGATCCTGCTGCTGCTGCTGCTGCAGCACTTGCTGGCTGCTGCTGCTGCTGCTGCTGCAGAGCGAGTTGTTGCTGCAGCAACGGCTCCAGCAGCGACAGCTCTGTCTGGGTCTCTTGCTGCTGCTGCTCAAGCTGCTGCTGCTGCTGCAGCTCAAGCGTTGTCTGGACAGCCACAGAGGCCATCTGCAGCTCACGCGACTGCTGCGCATGTGCTGCTGCTGCTGCTGCTGCTGCTGCTGCTGCTTCTGCTGCTGCACGGTTGTTGTGCGTCGCGAGGAGCGCCTCATAGTGTTTCTTCTGCTGCTGCAGCTCCGAATCTGCTGCTTCGAGTTGGCGCTGCAGCTGCTGCAGCTCTTGTCGCTGCAACTCCAGCTGCTGCTGCTCCTTCTCCCTCTGCTGCTGCAGCTGCTGCTGCAGCTGCTGCTGCTCCTTCTCCATGTGCTGCTGCAGCTGCTGCTCTGCTTCCTGTGTCTCCAGCAGCAACACTCGTGTTGCACCCAGCTCCCGCTGCACCGTCTCTGCCCGTTCTCTTTCTGCTTCCTGCAGCAGCAACAGCAACAGCAGCAGCAGCAGCAGCAGCAAATCACAATAGTCCGCATGAAGCTTTAAGGGAGACAGCAGCAGCGGAAACAGCAGCAGCAGCAGCAGCAGCAACAGAAGAACAGTTACCTTAGCCTTGCTGAGCTCTTCGTGCTGTATCTGCCACTCCTGTTCCTTTTGCTGCCATTCTTGCTGCAGTTGATTCAGCTGCTGCAGCTGCTGCTGCAGCTGCCCAAGCTCCTGCTGCAGCTGCTCGAGCTCCTGCTGCTGCTGCTGCTGCTGCTTCTGCTGCTGCTGCTGCTGCTGCTGCTGTTGCTGCTTTTCTGGAGCGGCCTCGGCATGTGCCGGTTCACCGTCTGTCTGTACGCCTACTGTAACAACCTCTGTCAACTGCTGCACCTGCTGCTGCTGCTGCTGTTGCTGCTGCTGCTGCTGCTGCTGCTGCTGCAAGGGCTCGAGATCTGCAGCACGGAGTGCTGCTGAAAGCTCTCTCCTGCGCTGCACCTGCTTACGCCAGAGCAGCAGCGCCTGTCTCTGCTGCTCCCCACAGTCAGCTGGTATGGCCCCTTCATTCCCGCTGCTGCTGCTGCTGCGGCTGCTGCTGTTGCTGCTCCTGTTGCTGCTGCTGCTGCTCCTGCTGCGGCAAGGCAA